TCTCTTCTCTCAAAGTGTGGAGGTTTTGGTTTGTTATTTCTGGGAATCCAGACCTGCTGTTGATTTGAGTATCTCTCTCCCTTTGCTGCGCCTGAGAAGCAGAACAGCCCCAACGTGGCAATCGCTCCCTTTCACACCCCGTGTCCTTCCAGGGAGCGCTTTCAGCACACCTCACGGGGACTTCTGGTGTCCCTCCCAGCCAATTCCCTGGGACAGCAGTTGTGCTGCCACAGACTGCTGCACATCTCACTATTCAAAGCCACCAGTGCCCCTGGGAGTCCTCCTTATGGTCAGGTGGTGGATTTGCTTTTGAGCTTCCTCTCACAAGACAGGGATCTCTCCCATGCTGGAACTAGTGGAGGTCTTCTGCCAACTACCAAACAGCAGTCTGGTGAAATTGCTCAACTGTACCAATGATACTGAGCTCCAGAGAGGCTTTTCTGATCCACTTGTGGCAAACACATCCCTAATTTGGTCCGTGCACGGCAGCGTTAGCCTCTTGGAAAGGGGAGGGAAGGAACAACTACCCCTCTCCTGTGCTTCTGTAGCAACATACTGCAGTCTCATTTATAAAGATGAAAGATTTTTACACTGAAAGGGTTGTCAAACATTGGAAGAGGCTGCCCAGGGCAGTGGTGGATTCCCTGTCCCTGGAGGGATTTAAAAGCTGGGCAGATGTGGTGCTGAGGGACATGGGTTAGTGGTGGTTTCTGTCAGTGTTGGGTTGATGATTGGACTCGATGATCTGAAAGGTCCCTTCCAACACAGGCAATTCTATGATTCCATGATCCTTCTATCAGTCTGTTGACAGGGGAATCCTATCACGTAGGACATGCGTTAGAGTTTTTTCAATATTATTTACAAAGCACATCTACTCAAGTGAGTCAAAGGACCACACTGACCTGCAGTCAGGCACTGCTTATTGTTTCCTTGCTTGGGTCAAGACTTAGCTTTCCTCACCTGGAGCTACAGCAGTATTTAGGGCTGGTGTTAAGTAAGTAGATTGCTGAGGATTTGACTCTGCATTTCTGGGGTGGTTATTGTGGATTAGCTCTGGCTGTCCCCTGTGATGTCTTGTGTCAGCTGCACTGCACTATTCTAGAGGCACCCCAGAAGTGCATCTTCAGGTTTGGCTTTGTCCAAAAAGAATGCATTTCATCGACTTCAGTGTGAATCAAAGCACAGAAATTGCAAATGACGGAGGATCTCTTGAAAAGGAGCTGAACTAAAGTGTGGGTGTGGATGCACCCACATTGTCTGGCTAACAAGGGGGTCCAGCCCTGCTGCCCCTCTGACAGGCAATCTCTGCAGACCATCTGGGGAGGATTCACACATCACCAGCAGCAGCAGTATCACAGCTCAGGAGGTCTATTTAAAAGAGCTTTATGGTCTGCTAAGCTCACAGAATGACAGAATCATAGAACAGTTTGGTTTGGAAAGGACTTTTAAAGGTCATCTAGTCCAAGGTCATCCTCATATATACTGGGCAACCCCCAGATAGTGGTTGCTGAATAGCTAAGAATGGAGGGGGATGAGAAATACACAGTGTAATATTGTTATCCATTCCATGTAGACAGCCTTCCAAGAATAATTGTCAACAGGGAGTCCTCATCTAAAGAATTTCTGTGAACAGTATTTGATGTCTTTTATTCAAGGTCTAGAATAATATAGATATAATATAGAATAAAAATAGTTGCTAATAAAAAATTGCCTATGGCACAAAATCTCACATTATGAGGACAAGTCGCCTTGAAGAAATGTAAGGATCCATTTGAAAAGCCTTAGAAAAGAGCTGTAAGAGTAAGTCTCAGGATCTTAAAACCAAAAGACATTTCAGTCACAGAGAGAAGGTACTGCTCTGTTTAGCTTATAAAGGAGAATTTGGAAAGCGTCCGCATCAAGATCTGTAAATGTTTAAATGTGGAGACACAATAAGAAAAAAAAATGCTGAATCTAAAGCTGCACAAACTCAGACAATGGGTAAGACACAGTGGCACTGACAGGGCTTAGTCATTGGAACGATTTGCTGTGCGTTATAGAGGGTTTTCTGTGGCTTGAAATCAGAAAAATGTGCTGTGTCTGCACCAGATACACCAGCTCATGGCAGGACTCGTAGGTGGAAGTTTCTGCCCTGGAACTGCATGAAACCTACACACAAGATTCTTAGCGTCACAACCTTAATAACAATTAGATATGATGGCTTTCTCTGATGATATCTTTGTCACTGGCAGTGGTGATTTTTCACTAACACAGTCCCACTTCCAGGATGTGCTAAGTGCTCATTCATTATAGGAGCCTTTTGAAAATGTGACATTTAGGAGCTAAGTTGACATGGGGACTTGGGCACCTAAGTATCATTTTAGGCAGCATTAGTTCAAAATATTTATCTGGAAAAGTCCTCTTCTAATCCCACAGGTGGGGGTAGATACCTGAGGGTACCTCAGTCCTTACTTGTACGTTCCTCTCTGGCCGTGGGCAAGGCAGTGGCCCCCGATGGGGGTGACTCTTTCCACCTGTGGACCCTTGTCCAGTGCAAGTGGTACCAGTTGGTGTGAAGCCCCTCAGTGGGGCTGTTGGACCTCCCAAAGGAGGGAGACTGACGCAGCAGCGGTGACAGTCAGGCCCCGTTCTGCCCGCAGAGGGAGGTCTGTCCCGCAGTCTCTCCACATTACCCCTTCAAAAGTGCTGTTCAGAAAGAGATTGAAACCATAATCCATGCAAATAAACAATCACATCCCATTTGATTACATCAAATAGAAAACTTGCCAAAATCTCTTGCTTCTAGTCGCCTTCTACTTATTGCCATACTAACTTGTGGCCTTTTCTGAGAAGCAACAAGAAATCCATGACTCCCCTAATTAGATTTGGTCCAGATTTTATCACTGTTAAGGAAATCATCTTACGGCAGAGTGGGTTTAAAAGCAGACCTTTGCTCTACATCTAAGTCACTTGTATTTTCCTAACTCTCTACGTTCCTGCAGCCTTGTCAGCTCTCAGAGCTGGGCTGGGCGAGGATTGAAGTGGGGAGCTGTGCTTGTGGGGGGTGTCATTTGGATGAGAGCACGGCCGTCCATCAGGGTTCCTGTGGTGTTCTGAAAGCAAAGATTGGTGACTAAACTGTAATAAAGTAATTGCTTTCTGATTTCTAAATTCCCCTGCAGTTCCACTTAGATCGTAGCATTGGTTTTCCCATCCTAACCTTTTTCTGGTTTTGTTTTTGTTGTTGGGATATTTTTTGGTTTTAGTTTTGTTTTTTTTTTAACGGTCTACTAAACATTTCTATTCAAGGGTTATTACTTTTATTAGAGTTGTGAACATGATTGGTGTGGCTCCTCCTTCCTTTTAGCTCCAGCCTCCTTGGGAAGACCTACAGAAACGTCCTGGCTCTTTTTCAGTTCTTATCACTCCTCTGTTTTGGGGTATCTTTAATGTGTGGCTGCATCTCGTTCTGCTCCCTATTTCTAGGGAGTGAGCTCTGCACAAGGAGTATGTGGATCCCAGCAGTGCCATTCACCCAGCCTGTTGCCTTTTGGAACCTACAAGGGAAGCACAAAAAATCCAAACTTGTCCACTTTGCTGAACGTTTTTCTTTTCACTTCTAGGTCCTCCTATTGAGCCTCTGGAGCCAACCAGGCCTTTACCGACTCTTCCTGTTCGCAGAATTCACTCCACTTCGGAGAGAAAACATGAGAGACATCCAAGACCTCCTAATCCTCCTCTGGGTGATCGGCCGTCCCCTCCTGGCACGAAGCCCAACATCTGTGATGGCAACTTTAACACCGTGGCTCTCTTTAGAGGAGAAATGTTTGTTTTCAAGGTACTAAGAATTCCTGCTTACCCATGAGTCTGTCTTTAGTTCTATTGCTGGAAAAAAATAATAGAAGGATTAGGTAGTGAGATTTGAAATATCTGTGAGAATAGCTCTGTTGTTCAGCTGGGGCTGGTGAGTGAGCAATACTAGAAGGAAATGTGAGCAGATTGGCTCCGTGATATTTGGAACCAGCGCCTGATGGCATTCACCCAGGCAGCCTGTGCACCACAGTGTGAACTGGATGCGCTGATGGAGAATTCAAACACCATCAAGCTCAGAGAGGAGCCACACATAAAGTCAGAAAGCAATACCAGTACCTAACCAGGGATTGAGCCTCTTTGCCTCCAGAGCTGGCCTGCATCCAGCCCTGAGCTCCAGGGAGCACTCACCCTACCTGAAGCTCTCGAGGAGGTTGACTCAGCCTTGATTGTAACTGCAGCCAGGGAGGGAGGAGAGGCTTTGCTCAGTAACCCATGTTGGGAGTGCCTTGAATATGGAAATCCACAGTCCCGTTCCCAAAATACCAGTAGCTTTCACTTTGCCCAGTGGGTGTGACTGTGGAGAGGGATATATGGAAGGTCGTTAACTGGACAAACCATATCAGTTGCAGAAAATGCCTGAACTGAAAATACTTGGAAGGCCAGGGACATTATCTGGGAGAAGTCTCACAGGCTCTGTTCTGCCCCTACTCATCCCTGAGCATCCACTACAGCTTTAACAAATGATCTACTATCTGAAGGGATCGTTAATAACTCCTTTGTGCCGTTGGATGCTGTGTGCTTCACACAGTCACCAGGCTGTGTGTCTCTCCTGGGGTCTGATAGTTGAGCACCAGGACGGTTGTGACACTTCAGTGACAAGACACGCAGCGAGGTGGCTCAAAGATCAGTTCCACACGCTTATAACTGTGCCCTTGCTTCCCCCTGCTCCTTTTCCCTCTCCTTCTTTCCACCCTTTTCCACAGCACCAGCAATCAGCTGCTCGCCCTTTGGCTGTCACCTTCCCCACGAAGCGCTTCCCTCACTGGGGACAGTGTTGGGCTGGGCTGGAGCTGTCACCTGAAGCAGGACTTCTGTCTGTAATGGTTTCAGGGCCTAGGCAGGGACAGTAGTGCTTGATTCTGGCCGTCCAGCCTGACCTGACTGCAAGATAAAAATACTGGGTCTGAAGACGCTTCTGGTTTTCTCAGGATCGCTGGTTCTGGCGGCTGCGCAACAACCGCGTGCAGGAGGGGTATCCCATGCAGATCGAGCAGTTCTGGAAAGGCCTCCCCGCAAAGATCGATGCAGCCTATGAGCGCTCCGATGGAAAATTTGTTTTCTTCAAAGGTACAGTAGTTTTCAGTTCGATCCTACCAGCCCTCCCTCCCATTGCTCTTCTTTATGGCGTGCAGGAAGGCTGCATCCCTGGCCTTTTCCCAGGGGACACTTCAGGCAGCCACTAATCCTTAAAATACCGTTTAGTGTGGGCTGGCCTTGCCAGGACAAGCTCTGTATAAAGCTCATATGGATTAGTGGAAGTTGTCTTTCTTCCCTGTGACAACAAGAAAGAGCTCCTGTTTCTCAGGGAGTGTCAGGCTCCTACCTGTCTCCTTGAATGTGTTTCGGCAGGGCATTAGGGCCTCTCCCAAACCACGTTTCTGGACAATTGTCTCCTAAAGAGACAAAATGACCATATTTATGCTGGGGCCCACATTGGCTCCTTGCACTGTGAATGTGTCCAAGCAGGATCCTGTAACTGAAGAGCAAGTTGTAAGCGAGGGAGAGTGGCTGGAAGGCATCGGCCATGCCCCCTGCAGAACCACACCGCCTGCTCTTCTGATTTGTGTGTCTCCAGCTGCAGTCCTTCTGCTCAGTAAACTCTGTTAAAACTTGAGAAGGCTCAGGGAAAGGCAACAGAAATGATCAAAAAATATGGGCTGACCCTCTCCAAGGAGCTTCTCAGCCTGAACAAGGGATGACACAAGCAGGGTGTGAGAGAATGCTTTGAAATAATCATGACTGGCCTGGAGAAGGGGAATGGGAAAGGGCTGTTGAATCTCTCTTCCAAAGCAAGAGCTGAGGAGCAGCAGATGAAGTCAGGAGGCTTCAGGTTCAAAATGAAGAGGAGGAGCAGCTTTTTCACGTAATACAGTTAAGCTTGGAAGTCCTCAACATGCTGTGGTTCATTGTGGCTATTTTACATTTATATGGATTCAACTACTAATTGGGCAAATGTGTTTGTTATTTGTGTCCCCCTATTCCTCTCTAGGGGATAAATACTGGGTTTTTAAGGAGGTGACGGCAGAGCCGGGCTACCCCCACAGTCTGGTGGAGCTGGGGAGCTGCCTGCCCCGGGAAGGCATCGACACGGCGCTGCGCTGGGAGCCCGTGGGCAAAACCTACTTCTTCAAAGGTGACAGGTACTGGAGGTACAACGAGGACAAGAGAGCAACGGACCCGGGGTACCCAAAACCCATCACCGTGTGGAGAGGAATCCCTCAGGCTCCACAGGGAGCCTTTATCAGCAAAGAAGGCTGTACGTACCCGCAGTCCTTACGCCTCTTGGATTGGTAACCGCTTGTCTGCCACGGGAGTTGGGGTGCTGGATGTGGGGTGTTTGCACTGTTCCCTGAGACAGGAATCGTCTCAGAAGTCCTAGGGTCACTCTGGCCCTGTTAGCACTAACAGTCTGGGATCCTTCTGACCCTCAGCCCAACCCTCATACCTCCTCACCTGCAAAGCCATGGCACGGTAGTGCCAGCTCTGGGTGAGGGGAAGGGGACGTCTGGTTTTGCTGCCACAATGGTACCTACCCAAGTTTTCCTGGGCCCTGATTGCAAGGAGGCCGTAACTTATAGTTTCCTCCTCGTTTCTTACCTGTGGACCTCAGCATGAGGCTCCTCTGTCAGAGGCTCCCACCCGCCTGAACTTTGAAGTTAGCCATGCCCCAAATAGGGGGTTGGGCCTCCCAAGGCTCCTTCAAACATATTTCTTTCTCCGATTTGAAGATTTGTTCCTCTTTTTCCCATTGGGGAAAGAACTAACAGGAGGGCCCGCAATGAAATTCGGGACTGTGGGGTGAGACGAGGGCTGTGGGGCTGGGCTGGGCTGGGCTGGAGGACACGTGCAGGAGACTCAACGCTTTCACCTTCTCCTTTTTTTTTCCTTTTTTTTTTTTTTTCTAATCACTCGAGAGTGATTAGAAAAGGAGTCATCTGGGGAGATGAAGGCTACTTCAGACAATATGTAGCATAAACCATCAGCCTTTTATTAGCAGCAGGACAAGACTGGTCCTTAAAAATGGCCAAATCTTCTCAATTCCGTGGCCAGAAGGACTCGCCTTATTCAGCATCTGCTCCTCAGGCTGGGTGAACAGAAACCTTGAGTGTTCCTCCAAACACTGTCATTCTGCAGATTACTTTAATTGCTTGGTCATGACGAGCCCATATTTACAGACGCTTTAGTAAAAAATAACTCACTGCAGAACACTTAGTTAGTTGGGTTTCTGTTATTCACAGCTTGTCTTGGCCAAGGTGGATGGTGCTCTGTGAGCAATGCTGAACCCCCGGGCCAGGGTTACTGCTTCTCCTTTAAATCCTGGCTCCAAAACCACCTTCACTCATCAGTGGTTTTGGGGTGTCCTGGATGAATGTGTGTCATTGGCCCAGGCAGCTGCCACCTCTGGCCTTTGGCACATCCTCACAGGAGCTTGACTTACTCTGTTGGAAATGGTGTGGTGAGAAATACTCTCTGTTTTGTCTCCTAGTTTATACCTACTTCTACAAAGGGAAGGAGTACTGGAAGTTTGATAACCAGCGGCTGAGCGTGGAGCCGGGCTACCCCCGCTCGATCCTCAAGGACTGGATGGGCTGCAACCAGAAGGACGTGGAACGAAGCAAAGACCGGCGCCTCCCCCACGACGACGTGGATATTATGGTGACAATAAACGATGTGCCTAGCACTGTCAATGCAATCGCAGTTGTCATCCCGTGCATTTTGTCTCTGTGTATCCTTGTCTTGGTATACACGATCTTCCAGTTTAAAAACAAAGAGGTGCAGCAAAACGTTGTGTATTACAAAAGACCTGTCCAGGAGTGGGTATGACACAGCCCGCTGCACAGCTCAACTCATTGCTCTGATGAGGACTATGGACTGAAATAAAAAGGAAAAAAAAAAAAAAAAGCATTCAAAAGCCTATCAAACAAAACTACTTCAGTGACCTACGAGTTTTGGACAGCCTGGGACTGAAAGAAGCAGGAAAACTGGAAAAAAACCACAGGCAGCCTTGCAGTGCGGAACCGCTTTCCTTCTCACTGCCTCGGTGGCGTGTCTCGGTGTGCCATCCTCCATGGGCTCCCTCTGCCACTGCAGAGCCTCCAAGGCAGGTTACAGCCCACCCGGGAATCTTCCCTCAGTTCCCTGCACCAGTGCTCCCTGTTAAACCCAGCATTCTCCAGTGTAGCTCAACCACCTCTGAACAGAACCATTTTTTTAATAGCTGTCTCATAAATGAATTAAGATCATGAAATCTATGAACAGGAACAATTCAGTATCGTAAGCAGAAGACATTCTGATGCTGAACCATTCTAAAAGATCTTCTTAGTTTATTACAAGATCCAGGGAATTGCCTGGATACAATTTTCCAATACCTGCTGGTCAGATGTTTTGTACATTCATAACTAATCGACGCTGCCACTCAGCACCGTGCACGAGGAACCACGACGCACTCAGAGAGGTCTGTGAGTGCAGAGCAGAAGCTCAAGAAGCACCAAACCAGACACCATAACGTTACCTGGCAACGACAAGCCCCAGATTGGGACAAACTGAAGACAAAGTAATTGGGTCTTAAGAAAAAACAAAAACCACAAAAACCAACAATCATGGGAATACATGTTTTTGTTTCGGGAGCCATTCAGGAAAGAAATATTTAAAATGTCATGTGATGTTGTTTTAAGCTCCCATCAGTGAGAAACAATGAACCGATGGTTACCGATACTCTGAAAAACCTGTATAGCCGTAGACTACCCCCGATAAGTTGCTGGGAAAAGGTGAATTGTTGTTCTGTGGCATGTGTTAACTAGATTGTGGAATTTGTATGTTGGGTTTCAGGAGAATGGAAATGTTCGTTTGGAGTGAGATCGTCATTATATTTTGCTGAAATAGTCAAGATACAGTAAGAATTAGGCCTGTTTATAAAACTAAATGCAGTCCCTGTAGATGTTACAAACATTGTATGCCTTCAGAATTTGGGTTTGGTTTTTTGGTTTTTTTTTTGGTTTTTGCTCACTTGTCCACAGGCAGATATTTGTCAAGGCCCAAGGGAAGCATGTCACACAGCAGAGTGAGTCCATCACTGGCCACATTTGACAGGCGTAAAAAATTTGGGTAAAGTGTAGATAAATACCTGGACTTTGGGCTCATATCTCTTCACGAGTCTCTGCCTCCAACAGGAGCTTCTGCTCATCCCTCCTACAGCTGTGAAGGGCTGAGGATGTTGGGTCCTACCCCCAAACTCAGTCCGTTCTGTTGTTGATGCTGATATTTCTGCCGCGTTAAATAAGAGCGGGAGAGGCGTGTCTGGCCGTGCCATGGTGAGGGCCAGCCCTGTACAGAAATGCCATTCACACAAGCACACAAACTGCTTTGCACGCTCACTATGAGGAGCAGGCGATTAGTGTAAGCCCTCTGCCTATAATGGAATTTCATCCAGTGCAATTAAGTGCCAGTGCACAAAACGTCCAGTTAGTAGAGAAAAAAAATCCACCTTTAAAACATCAGCTGTGAAAAAAAACCCCACAAAACCCAAGGGTGACAAACATGCTAAAAATACTCCTAATTGCACTGACGGGAAATGAAGAAGCAGAAAGATTGTCAGTGTTCTGAATTTCTAGCTAGTGCTCAGATATTGCTGTGGTGAAGCAGGATAGACAAATAGATACTTCTCATGATGCCCACCAGGACTGCGCAACACGTGGTCTCAAACTGTATTTTGTCCTTCATAATTGATTTCCATAGCCAAGCTGTTTATTGTGTTGAAACATTTAAAAAAAAAAAAAAAAAAAAAAGAAAACAGTTCAGTGCCTTTTCTCACTGCTCTGGGAGTTGGCTCCTCGTGGAAATGTGACCCTATTGGGGGTTTCCCAGTGGGGTGTGAGATATTTGTGTAGGTGTTTCAGGGGCTGGGGAACAGCCCCCTGCGGTTCCAGGTGGTGGTTCTGGGGGGGCTGGGGCAGGGGGTGAGCAGTTGACCCCCCCCCCTTCCCTGAACAGACATATTACAAAGTAAGTGAGAAGCTAGTAGATGCAAAACTTTGAATTGTAGTGAAACAATGTGATACCGTCTCGTGATGGGTGAAGGAGTGCAAAGGACCAAATGAAATCGGAGCTACTAATTAGACACCCCCCCACGTGCTACTCCGGCCGTTGCTCTGTGTACTATAGATGTGGTAGAACGCACACCACGAGCGCCACAGCCACATGGCACATCCACCTCATCTGTACGCTGCCATCTCGCTGGGACTGTCACAGCCCAAACCTTTGAGCAACTTCCAACAGCCATCATTAAAACAAAAAAAAAAACAAAAAGAAAAAAAAGAAAAAAAAAATTACAACCTGGAGAAATGTCTGGTTTTGTTTGTATTTTTTTTTTTTTTCCCCCTCCTGCCCAAAGGTGGATTTTTTTATGGTCTGTTCCAAGCCCTGTGCCCAGCTCTGGAGCCCACTGAGCTATTTCCTTAATAAGGCAAACGCTGTGCTGCCCAAATGCAGCCCCTGCTCC